CTTCCTAGCTTTAATTCCTTAAGAAAGAGAAGCTGTCCCTTTTGTGAATGTTTGTACCGATGCTGTTTACCATGATCAGTGACTTGGACAACATCCGTACGCTTAAGGACTGCTCGGCTGCTCTTCTAACATGCTACCCTGGAATGGGGGGTTCTTATTATTAGACCCACTTGATGGCATAAGTTAAAACTCTGGCTGCGCTTCTCTTGGAAAGAGTGAGTAAACTCTTGAGAATCCTTCCTCCATCTGCTGCTGCTTTCATCAAGGCTGCACGAAGCTTGAACTCTTTTCTTCTCTTCTTTTTCTTTTTTTCTACTCCTGTTTTGTTTTTTTTTAAAGAAAACTGAAGCTGCTTTCTGGAGAGAGAGAGAGAGAGACAAATAGAACTGGATTAGCATTTCCTTTCCAACTGTTTGTGCAAGAGCAAAGAAACAGCATGGCAGATGGTAATACTGATTTTTTTTCCCTTCCTTATTATCTTCCAAGAACATGGCTCTGCGATTGGAACAGCAAAGATGGAGAATGGCTATGCAGATAGAAAGCAAATGGCCTTGTAAAATCCTTGCCAATTTTCAACTTCCCTTCTCTTCGCTTCTTTCTTTCTCCATTTAAAAAAGATAAAAATAAAATAAACAAGCTGCACTATCTTCCTGTATGCGTTATCTTTCTCTGTTCAGGGAATCTGATCCTAAAAGTTGCCAAGAACTCTCATTGTAGCTGTCAATTGGAGTTGCATGCACAGTCGCTTCTTTTTAAGATCAGTTCGAATAGCATCCAGCATCTCTGCACTGCTTGGGACTGCAGCTCTGTTGTTTTCAGACAATTTCTCCCACTCTTAATACATGGTTCATTCATATCTTCCCCTCCCCTAAAACCTTTCCTCGCACGTCACAGCACAATAATCCTGGAAAGCGTATAGCTAAATCTAACGCTATCCTATTCCCTAATCGTAAGGATATCCTATAACACAGGGAGCAAATGCAGGGTGCGTTTGCTCAGTGTTTCCTCTCCCCTCCCATTAAAGATCAAAATGAATGGACGGGTCAATACTTATGCTTTCCGCATTATCCAGTTAATAACACCATGCCTTCTGGAGGTCTTTTTAAAAACTGGGCATGCCTCCAGCTGCATGGAGTTGATAGTGACAAGGAATTCGACAGTATAAAAATATTATATGAACAATTATAATTTATTCTCTCCAGAACAAGAGAATTGGGATCTTACCGTTATTTAAATAGTGGTGCATTGACTAGTTAGTACGATTTAAAACATAAGTCTGTTGAGCATCCAGTAACAGCAATGGCTCCTGCTACTGGTGCTTTCTTTCTCTTGATAAACATGAAAAGAATATTCCCCCCCCAGCAAACAAACAAACAAACAAACAAACCAGACATCCTCTTCAGAATGTTTCCTGCAGACCCCAGGACTATTAATCACAAATGATTAAATTCTTCTTTTCAACTTTGATCTTGACTTGACCATAGACCCAGTATTAAATGGTTTGAACCAAGAGTTTTGTGTGCCGTGTCCTAGAGACAGCTAGTTTTTTAAACAATCTGATGTTGAGATGAGCTTTTTCTGAGTCCAAGCATCTCTCTCCGTCAGTACAGGAGAGTAGTTTTGGGTCTCCTCTTACTCCATCTAAAAGACCTAAAAGAAAAATCAGTCCTAAGAGGATTCTGAAAAGACGCGTTGCTCCTTCCAAGAGAAGAAGAAAAGTACCTAGAATGGAACACTTGTCTGCGGAATCCCGTCGGAACAAAGTAAGTTTTCAAACCCGGTACATGTCAACCGCAGAGACTCTTAAACAACTTGATTATTATTATTATTATTTTGGTCCTCCCAACTTTGGGATGAACTTCTTCCAAATCGAACTTTCGGTGCAGCCATCTTGAAAGACAACAACCACAGATTGCCATCAAGCAGTTGGGTTCATTTGATGTTTATCTTGTCCTTCTTCCCACTCTTCTTTGGGTGGCATCCTCTGTCTCTTGGTGCAATCTTTAAATCCTTCTTAACTATTGTTTTTAAATATCACAGGTTTCAGGTGCAAAAATCCATTTAAACTATTCCACCCACAGGTAGATAACATTGGATTAGCCTGTAGAATCCTGCTTATTGTCACCCTTACAGTTGTTGTTGTTTTCCCAGCCAAAATGAATTTCTTGGAACTGATTATTTGGACCTCTGGAAAGTTCTATTTGTAAAACTTGCATTGGGTTGAAGAAATTTGTGAATTTCAACACTGGAAGTTTTTAAGAAAAGGTTGGACAACCATTTGTCTGTGAATGGTATAGGGTTTCCTGTCTGAGAGGTGGACTAGAAGACCTCCAAGGTCACTAAATTTTGCACAACATGACATGACACCATTGGTTTCCTTTAGCAGGAGACATCAAATAAAGCCTCGATCATAAGAATTGGTCAGTGATCCTTTCTTATTTCATGCCTGATAACTGTATGGTATCAAATTTTTGCAATGCTGGAGGATGCTTCAAATAAATCATAAATAAATAACTTTACTGTCATTGTACTGTATACACAGTATACCCATACAACGAAATTCACTTAACATCCAAAGACCAGGTCCAACACACATAACAATCCCCAAACGCAGTCCCACCCACCACAATTCCCCACCCCTAAACCACCCAAGCATCCACACAACAGACCAAGTAATGCTGTCCAACAGCTCACTGATGGTAGCCCTTTAGTTCATTGTTGAGTGCAATTATAGCTCTGGGATAAAAACTATTCAGAAAACGTGTGGTCCAAGTTTTAATTGTTCTGTATCTTCTGCCAGAAGGCAACAGTCCAAAAAGATTGTAAGCAGGATGGGAAGAGTCTCTAAGAATGTTATGCAACTTTCTCAAGCAGCAAGATTCGAAGATGTCGTCCAGGGCTGGTAGCTGGAGTCCGATGATATTCTGGGCAGTTTTAATGATTCTCTGTAGAGTTTTTTTGTCCGCTACAGAGCTGCTCCCATACCATGCAAGAATGCCCTATGTCAGGACACTCTCAATGGTGCTGCAATAGTAGGACAGAAGTAGATGCTGAGATAGATTTATCTTCCTGAGCATTCTCAGGAAGTACAGCCTCTTCTGTGCCTTCTTCACAAGCATGTTAGCATTCATAGTCCATGAAAGGTCCTCCGAGATATAAATGAACATGAAAGGTCCTCTGATATATAAAGCTTGAAGCTTTATGAATATTTTGAGGCAATGAATATCAGTAAATTCAAAGGAAATTTATCTCAGGCTGCTATCTATTTGAACAATCATGCTCAGTGATCACGTTGAATGAAAATAACAATTGTAAGGAAGTCCTATATCCACATGGTGCCTTCATTCTGTGTATAGAATCTGTATAGGACATGGATATATCTTAAACATAGATTAAGAGCATGAAAGGTTGATCATATGGACCTATAGCAATAGATTCAAGTTGATGTTTGAGTGTTTTCACCATATGAAACATCTCTTCAGACTTTCGTGATGAATGTGGACATAGGGTGCAAATGGGATGCTATCCTTTTTATCTTGGCAATACCATAATATTAACATCAAAGACAAATCTGCCCTTAAAATGAATAAATGAGAGCTACCCAAATCACTCAGTTGGGATTCAGGAAGGTGCCCTGTAATGAACATTGGAGTTCTCTCATTGAAAGGGAAGAGAGAACGGAAAGAAGCTTTTTCTGTGTCATGCTTTATATACAAATCATGTCCAGCCGCATTCTTTCTTAAATAAAGGACTGCTCAACTTTCCTTAAAAAAAAATCATTCACTGGGTGAGGTCCATGAAGCCTGCAGGATACATGGATTCCCACCATCTAGCAATAGCAGTAGCATTTAGATTTATATACCGCTTCACAGTGTTTTTACAGCCCTCTCTAAGCGGTTTACAGAGTTAGCATATTGCCCCCAACAATTTGGGGCACCTCGGAAGGATAGAAGGATAGAAGGCTGAGTCAACCTTGAGCCTGGTGTGATTCGAACTGCCAAATTGCAGGCAGCCGGCAGGCAGCAGAAGTAGCCTGCAGTACTGCACTCTAAACACTGCGCCACTGTGGCTCATGAAACCTGCAGGATACATGGATTTTCATCTTCTAGCTTGTTAAAATAAATGTACTGTTAAAAATTAAGGTTGGAAAAATATTATCCCAAGAACTTTATGAACCGAAGTGACCCATTGCTCTGTTTTAAAATGATCTTGGCTCTATGCTTGATTCTTTATTTTAGAATATGGCTTCTAGAGATGAGCTTATGCTTTTAGGGATTAAAAAAAGGGTTAAAGAACCATAGCTCTTCACAACTTTTAATTTTTTTAAGCATAAGTATGATATTCTTTAACACCAACATCAGAAGACTATGGGTGCACATTACAATATAACTCTAATCCTGTTAGAATTTCTTCAAGTTTGCTTAACTCTTTAAGATGAATGATTTCTCATATCATGAGTTAGAGTCTACAAGTAGATTGTAGGTTTGGCAGAAAATCTTAATCTGTTCTTTATTTCAGATATTAGTAGTAGTGATCATGCTGTTTTGAATATAATAAGATACTCCAGATATGTTAATATTCTCATAATCCTCATAATAAGAATATAGTGAAAGAGAATAAATACTTGAAAGAGAAAAACTATCATCATTTCTAGACTTCAGAGGGATGAAGACAGAATGCCTCAGAAAATGGTTGCTGAGGAATAATGTGAATGAAGTTATAGTTATCAAGTCTTCTCTTTTTTTCAAAAACTTCTGGTTAGCCATTCAAGAACCATAATTCTGGAGTATATTGGTATTTGGTGTAAATCAGTGCTTCAGAGAGATTAATATAATAATATAATATAATACAATATAGTACAATTGATGTAATATAATTGTGGCAGTTTATGTAAACATACCATCAGATGAAAACGTAGGGGCATGATAGTGTAAAACTTGTAATGATAGTTTTAAAAAGGTTAATTCTCCCTCTTTGTGTAAATATGTGTGTATATATAGATGTTAGGTCCACTAAGAGATATTGACAAGATCCTTGGGCAACTAATGGATGGACTAAAGCAGCTGAACTTACACCGATGTGCCAACATTATCTTCGTGGGTGATCATGGTAATTTAAAAAAGTTTTCCTTGGTTTTGATGTAGGAAAGTCTTCATTTCTACTGGAAGGCACTTTATTAACTTGTTAAGTTGAATGTCTATGGAGATTCTCAGACATCCAGGTCATGATTGTCCCAAAAGTGCTTTTTCAAGAGGCAACTGGATTTTCTTTGTTTTTCCTTCAAGACGTTTCTTTGAAGATGGATGAGAACGAAACTTCTTCGAGGAAAAACAAAGGAAGTCCAGTTGCCTCTTGAAAAAGCACCTTTGGGGCTATTAAGCTGAACTGTTGTTGAATTGCATTTAGATGTAGAAGTTATTATGTGCCAGCACACAGTATGGGTTCACCCTAAGATAAGGGACAAAGGTTTTAGAATAGATTCATTGTGAACGGATTTCTGAACAGCTAATTCATAATACAATTTTGTGATTTTTTTTAAAAAAAATCTGGCACAATGGCTAACTTGATAAGACTTCTAACTTGAAGTTCTTGGCAGAACTTCAGGGGTGAGAATCCCTCTTCTTATTGCTACTTAGATTATATTTGTGAGAATACTTTAATCTTTAAAACTTAATCCAGTGCAGTAATGTTTTTTAATTGCTGAAATAGCAGTACTTTTTCAGCATCATTTAAATTTGTGGAAGCTATTTCTGGGTTAAACTTGTTGTTTAGACTAATACATGCATCCCCTGATTCCATTTTAAAGAATTTTTTCCTCCGATTTCTCACCCTTTTAAAATAAATTGTTATTATAAATTTGTAAAATCTAAAGGATCACACTCTTCTAACAAGAAAGGAAGTATCTTGGGAAAACTCACAAAATACTTTTGGTTGTATTGGTTGTAGACCAAAACCATGGACAATATGTCTTTTAAAGCTGAAAGAGACCTAAACTTACCGTATTAATTATCATTTGAATGTCTACACATACTTCTTTCAATAATGCAATGATGCTGCTTTTTCTGTAGGGATGGAAGATGTTACCTGTGAAAGAACTGAATATTTGAGCAACTATCTGTCTAACGTGGATGACATAACATTGATACCTGGAACTCTAGGGCGTATTCGTGCCAAAGCTAATAGCAACGTTAAATGTAAGTTTACCTTTCTACATTCACCCTGTAGCTTGAAATGTGCCCATTTTCTTCTGTGCTGTCTCTGACCTTGGCTTCCAACAGGTACAGCGGCAAGGAACATATTCATAAAGTTGCTTCCACCTTCAGAGAGGGACACAGTTATTGTTTAGAAAGACAATTGCTCTTTTACCCGATTGGTAACTTGGGTAAATTTACCTAATAGATAAGACTGGTTATTAAATAGAGCCCCATATTTGGAGGGGAAAACTCGAGATCTAAAAGATTTTACTTCACAATGAATTAAATCCCAAGAACCATGAGCAAAGAGAAATTAGCTGGTACATTTCTACGAATGTTTGCAGAAAAATTATGCAGTGGGCCAAATTTGCTAGCAGTGGTTTATCTTGAGATCTGAACTTCATTTTTTTACTATTGTGTTCTTCCTTGAGCCCGACAGTGATTCTTCTGTGAGAAGTATCTATAATCAAACTTGTAGTTTAGTTTAATGCAGCTAATTACATATGAACATTCATGTGTTGAAAACTCATCTATTGGCATATTTTTGACTTTACTTTCTCTTTCCGCTTGAAATCTCCTCATCCACACAACAGTTGACCCCAAAGCCATTGTGGCCAATCTCACAGTAAGTATCTCCTTAGTACTCCTCTTCTTCTTATATTCACATTTTAAAAATAGTTCTGAATAGTTGGGTTTATTAATTAGGAGTGGTGCGGTGGCTTAGAGATGAAAGTCTTGCCTCCCAATCAGGAGGCTGTGAGTTTGATCCTAGGTAGAGGAAGATATTTCTCTCTCTCTCTGGGCACAATGAGAATATTTCTGCTGAACAAAACTCTGCATTGGTGACAGGAAAGGCATCTGGCCATTAAAACACTCTGCTTGCTCCATTCAGTTGCCCAAACTCCATCCCGCAAGGGATTATGGGGTTATTGAAAGAAAGAAAGAAAGAAAGAAGTTGGGTTTATTAATTTGGATGTGGCTTTAAGTGACGATTCAGAGTGTTATCAGAGGAATTCTCATAAGTGTAGATTCCACGGAGAAAATTGTGTAATGGTTTTGGTGGGTCTAAATCATGTTTTGCAGAAGTGGGCTGTAGCACTGCAGAATATCCACAAACATTAACAGTTTAATTCCCAACAAAAGCCTGGTGGCACGGCAGACTAAAGCACTGTTATTAACAGTTATTAACATCAACTGCCTGCAATTACTGCAAGTTCAAATCTCACCAGGCTCAAGGTTGACTCAGCCTTCCATCCTTTCTAAGGTAGGTAAAATGAGGACCCAGATTGTGGGGGCAATAAGCTGACTTTGTAAAAAAAATATACAAAAGTATGAAGGCTATTGCTTAACGCATTGTAAGCCGCCCTGAGTCTCCGGAGAAGGGCGGCATATAAATTAATTTTTTTTTTTAAAAAAAAATTTCATTGGAGAGAGAGAAACTAAATTAAATGATGGGTAAAAGCTATTTTGGAGCTGCTTTCAGACAGGATACAAGATAGATCAATAAACCACTTGGTCTTGATCACATCTGGGCTTTTTATGCCCACCCCTCGGGCTACATCCAGTCCTTTGTATATCCCTGCTTAACCCACATGAGGTCAATTGGAAATTATAAATCAAATGTAAACAAGTGTACGTAATGCATGCAATAGAACTGTATTGCTTTTAATTCCCTTCCCCCCCAATTTACATATGTGTGTGCGTGCTTGCATGCCTACACACTTTCAGAACCCTGTTGGTTTGACCCCTCCATAACAATTCCAGTTTCTCATTTTCTCTTGGGAAAATTAATTGCCCCTCCCCTGGTCTTGACTGACTGATTATGGACTGTCAAATCAATGTCAACTCTTCAGGACCACATAGAGAGACTTTCTCCAGGTTGTAGTCTTACAGTTGGCCTTACAATACCTACAAAACAGGGGCTGCTTATCCTCACTAAACAGTGATTTTTCCAGTTGGTAGGCAGGTTGGCCAATGTCTTGCACAGCCCTTTTTTGAACATGCTTCCTTTGTTTCAGTGCAAGAAGCCAGACCAGCATTTCAAACCTTACCTGAAGCAACATCTTCCCAAGCGTTTGCATTATGCAAACAACCGAAGAATCGAAGATATTCATTTGTTGGTGGAAAGAAGATGGCATGTAGCCAAGTAAATACGAATTTTCTAGTACTTTTGACTTGCCGTAGATCTCCCATTTAGCCAAATATGACATCTGCAAACTCTCTTAACTGAGAGAGAGAACTTAGTTCGGTGTGATTTTGGGCCACCGTTAAGAAATCAGTTGTGATATGACATTTCTTCACCCAATCTGTATGGATTTTTAAAAAATATTTTGGTAAGTCTTTGGCTCAAGAACATAGCAAGAGCAACATGGCTTCCTTATTTCATAGTGTCTTCTGAGTTAAGTAACAATAACATTCTAACATAGTTTAGGTGACCAGACTTCCTACTATTCAAAGTGTCTTTATTTTACAAATGCATTTTTTAGGTAGTTGACAATAGCTAACCTGGAGGCCAGATTTAGCCTGTAAAACAGTATTTTCCAGCCATTAAAAGCTCACAAGATTTAAGTCAAGATCTACTAAAAATTCTTATTTTTTAAGAAAAAAAATAACATTGTTTTTAGAATTTCTATGAGAGATTTTTTCACTATAATGTACCTTATATATAATGCTCCTATGATATGCTTATCAATTAACACTAATGCTCTGACACGATCGTGGGGAATGGAAGGATTCATATTCCTTGCAGACACCTGGTAATTTGCATCCTTTTAGAGGGTCCTTGAAGCACTTGGAGGTTTATCTATGTCCTCAGGGTCACCTGAGTAGTGCTCGTGGTGTGGGAGTAGTAATGGATTTCCAGAAGAAAAATTGCAGATTACAGGAGTCAGGGGCAATACTCAGGTGACCTTGAGGACACAGATAAACTTCCAAGTGCTTCAATGACTCTCTAAAAGGATGCAAATTACCAGCTGTCTGCAAGGAATATAAATCCTTCCATTCCTGTCAGAGCTGAAGAAGCTTCTTAGATGAGAAACAAAACATCTTCAAAAGAAAAAACAAGAAAGTCCAGTTGCCTCCTGAAAAAGCACCTTTGGGACAACCATGACTTGGATGACTGAGAATCTCTATAGACTTTTAACTGTCACTAACCTTATGACGGAAATTGATGGTAGCACATATGTGCCATCAAAATGGGTTGAAACCAGGAGGGTGAAATCCAGCAGGTTCTGACAGGTTCTGGAGAACCGGTAGCGGAAATTTTGAGTAGTTCAGAGAACTGGCAAATACCACCTCTGGCTGGCCCCAGAGTGGGGTGGGAATGGAGATTTTGCAATATCCTTCCCCAGGAGTGGGAGGGAATGGGGATTTTGCAATATCCTTCCCCTGGAGTGAGGTGGGAATGGGGATTTTGCAGTATCCTTCCCCTGCCACGCCCACCAAGCCACACCCACAGAAATGGTAGTAAAAAAAATTGGATTTCACCACTGGTTGAAACATGTGAGACATGCATCATGACACAATGGCATTAATCAGATAATTAATCATGTACTTTCCAGCTGCTGAGATGCAGCTACATAGAGGCACAATTTGTACAATGGCATTACTGTGTGTGTTGTTATTTTTGTGTCATTGTGGCTTGCTGAGATTGCTGGTCTCCTCAACCACTATTTGGGAAAGAAAACAAAAGTTCCTTGTTTCTTTAGAGATTTGTGGATCAGCTATATTTTCTTCAGTCCACTGGAAGTTGAATCTTAATGTTTATAGAAATTAACTGCTGGAATATTCAAGAATCTTCTTAATGTTTTTAGGAGGCCTGGAGATGTGTTTAAGAAAATAACTGGGAAGTGCTATTTTCATGGAGATCATGGCTATGACAACAAAATCAACAGCATGCAGGTAGGGGCAATAAACTACTTGGAGTAGTCAGTAAGTAGTATTGTTGGTATATGTAACTTACAGTAACTTACAAATGTATATTTTAATTAGAAGGCTCATTTCTTCAGTCTTCTTACTGTATTGTTGTAGTGAGAAAATACCTTAAAGATTTGTTGTTGCAGCTTATTTGATTCATCTTTGGATATTCCCGATGGTTTATGCTGAAATGTTTTAGAATGAATCCATAATAAAATATAAAAACAGGAAAAATATAAAATATAAAACGGGGAAAAGAAACTCAAAACAAAAACAAAATACCAAAAACAAATGCAAGGCTGCAAGAAGAAGAAGAGAATTATTTGTAGCTCAGGGTTGAACTGTGGAGTCATTGGTACTCTTTGAGCTTGGATCAGTGGTGGGTTGCTCCTGGTTCGGTCTGGTTCTTGTGAATCGGTAGTAACGGCAGCGGGAGGCTCCGCCTGAACATCATCATGAACGATCTGCGAATACACAGAAGCTTCTGTGCATGCGTTCCCGTTGCGAACCGATAGCGGAGGTGAGTAGAACCCACGCCTGGCTTGGATGGTTCCTTGCAGATGTTTCATTAACAAACTAGTGTTGTTCTATGATTGTTCTATTTGGAGAACTAAGCAAGAACGATGGAGGCTTGGCTATCATAACACAACACAACACTTTATTGCTAACAACCATAACTCCTGTAACAAGGCAACTCAGTGCGTGCGCGTATGTATGTTTGACAACTTGTTGCCGTCTGACAGCTGCTTAAATAGAGGCTGTCAGATCGGCGGAGACCAATAGGAACGCAGCGTTTTCCCGCTAACTGCCTGCTTGCGTCTAACCCAATCAGAGCAGGGCAACAACAAGGAAGGCTCCAGAGAAGGTCGTAATCGCGAGGATTTAACAATGATGCTACCTAGTTTGGTAATGAAACAGCTGCAAGAAAACAACCAAGCTCAGAGAGTACCAAGGACCCCACAGCAAGATCACAACTTGTATTTCAAAAGAACTCTTGACACAAAATGGCTCTCTTGACACAAAATTGGGAACAGTGAGCTGATTCAGCAAACCTTGTAAAAAGAGAGCCAAAAAGCATGTTTTGAACATAAAAAAGGACTAATCCCTGGAGGGTCCTTACTTTAGTCTTGATTTATTTTATTTCAGCAACAGAGAAGCTCACATAGGAGCTGACAACATTAATATTACTGTTTTTTCTCTCTTAGACAGTCTTTCTAGGCTATGGCCCTTCATTTAAATACAAAACAAAAGTACCTCCATTTGAAAACATTGAACTGTACAACCTTATGTGCGGTAAGTAATTTGAAAAGAAAATAAACAATATATTTGATTTTTTTCCCCTCAGCTTTCATTTTGGCCAATATCTTATGATTCATTTACCTTCCTTCTGTAACAAGGTATCTTAATGGAAGGAACAAACCCTAAATTTATTTTCTGTCTATGTAATCCTTGTATAGTGACCATAATTATGGTCGGCAACTCTGTTGTTAAGTGAAGCAATTGTTAAGTAAAACCATAACTGTGCTGATGATCTTATTTGAGCTTTGCTTTGCTTTACAGACCTGCAAATATTCTAAATTCAAGGATTGGTTATAAGGTTACTTTTTCATCTCTTTGTCACTTCAAACAATTGCTAAATAAGGCAATTGCTAAACAATAGCAATAGCACTTAGACTTACAGTATATACCGCTCCACAGTCCTTTACATCCCTCTCTAAGTGGTTTACAGAGTCAGCATATTACCCCCCAACAATCTGGGTCCTCATTTTACCAACCTTGGAAGAAATTGAAGGCTGAGTCAGCCTTGAGCCGGTGAGATTTGAACTGCTGGCAGTTGGCAGTCAGCAGAATTAGCCTGCAATTCAGGACTACCTGAAGCTGCTGAGAGCCTTTGAGGGGAATTGAAAATAACAAATTAAATGCAGGAAATAATTTCTGCATTAATCTGCAGACATTAATTTCTCCATGGGAGAAATGGGGCTTCTGCTGTCAGTCCAGTAATTTGAAGTGTTAGCAAAACATACCAAATTGAAATATGAAATAATGAGCCTTATTTCAACTATAAATTTGATTCTTACAAATGGTTTCATATTTTGGATGTCAAGGCAGAGTATATCAAAACTCTTGGGAATGGTGGTAAATCTAAACCTCCCTTCAAACTTACCATTAGCCATTAGCCACCTAAAATCGCCCCAAACAGCAAGATGGGCAGTCTATTAATTAATTAATTAAAGAGAGAGAGAGACAGACAGACAGACAGACAGAAAGAAAGAAAAGAAAGGAAGGAAGGAAGGAAGGAAGGAAGGAAGGAAGGAAGGAAGGAAAGAAAGAAAGAAAGAAAAAGAGAGAGAAAGAAAGAAAGAAAAGAAAGAAAGAAAGAAAGAAAGAAAGAAAGTTTTCTGGTCTAGGAAACTTTTATCATCCTACTGCTTTAAAGAGCTTTGACTGCTATGTACCAGAAAGACCTATTGGACAAACTCATTTATATAAAATTTAAATTCTCTGCAGGGATTCAGAGTTTAGAAATGTTAGGCAACTTTGTTTACCTTCACCTCATATTCTTGTATTGGTGTTTATATATGCATAAAATTCTCCACTCATAATGCAGTATACATAACAGATGCTATTTTTAATCCCGTTCCAGATCTCCTTGGTTTGAAGCCTGCTCCCAATAATGGGACACACGGAAGCTTAAATCACCTCCTCCGGAGCAGTACCTACAGACCCACCATGCCGGAGGAAGTAGCAAGGCCCCTCCATCCAGTAGCTACAACACCTTCATCTGACTACGATCTGGGATGCAGTTGTGACGATAAGGTAAACTCATGATATTCGTTGGAAGCAGGAAGCTCAGAATTACATCGATCCAGAGCCGTGTTTCTCAACCTTACCAACTTTAAGATGTGTGGACTTCAACTACCAGAATTGGAGGGAAAAAAATCCATTTTGCCTTGCTGATAGTACGAAGAAAGCATCATTTGAAAACAATACCAAATTCACAGCTGGCCTCTGTATGAATGTTTCTTAAGAGTGCATTATCGCTGATTATATGGTACAAAATGAAGATGATCTCTGTGGCAGGGGTGAAATCTACTTACCTTTCTTACTGGTTTGGAAGCGCATGCTCTGTGCACGCACACACCTTCTGTGCATGTGCAAAACCTTTTGCGCATGCGCAGAAGCTAAAAAAACATTACTTCCTGGTTAAAACCAGGAAGTAATGGCACCTGGGCGGCGATTGCTACTGGATCACCGAACCACAGGGGAAAATCGCTACCGGATCGGGCAATCTAGTCCGATCTGGAAGCATTTCACTCCTGCTCTGTGGGGTCTTTGAAGACGTTTCATTACCAAACTAGGTAATATTATCAATGCTAATTGGGAGTTGGGTTTGCTGCATATAAAATATACAAGTGGCTTGCCCTGTCAATGTTGGTGGAAATGTTCTTGGTGATTCCTTGGTTAGTTGTTTACGGATAGCTTGTTTGTCTATGTTAGTAGTTCCTTGATTGGAATATTGTGTACTTCTTGATTGTTGGTTTAGTATTAATCCTGCTGTTAATCTCTGCTCGTCTGGGTGTTGATTGCTGGTAGTTTTGGTCTTTTTTATTCTTTTTTTGGTTTTGATTGCCCCTTTCGAAGGGCATGTAAATGTTGATCTCTGCCTAGGGGTGCATGAGCTGAATGAATGAACAGAATCTGCCTGTGTAAGCTACAGTGAAAATAAGCAGATGTTTGTATTCCTGAGGTAAGTGAGGTAACTGTTCAAGTGTCAGTATCCATCATATGATGTCAGCATGCTGTGGATTTCCACCTGCCAATTCTGGCATAAGCTATATCAGGGGTGTCAAACTCGCGGTCTGCAGGCCGGATGCATCATGTGTTGGCCCCACCTCCACCCGGTTTAGCGAAGGGGGGAAAAAGTCCCGATGCGTCACTTGATGACGCCATGACGACTCGAGTTTGACACCCCTGACCTATATTATATGATGTACTTATCTGAATGGGGCATGATGGCTCAGTGGTTAAAGATGCTGAGCTTGTCTGCTGGAAAGTTGACAGCCTGGGTTCGAGACCCAAGTGCCATGCAATGGGGCAAACTCCCCTTCTTTGCTTCAGCTCCTGCCTACCTAGCAGTTCTAAAGCATGCAAATGCGAGTAGATAAATAGGTACCACTTAGGTGGAAAGGTAACAACGTTCCGTGCACCTTTGGCATATAGCAGGTGTGTCAAACTGGTGGCCCGCAGGCCAAATGCCTCACGTGCACGCCACACCCACTCCAGCTCCACGAAGGGAAAAAAAGTCAGTGACGGCAATGTGACACGGCAAGTTTGACACCCGTGGCATATAGCCATTCTGGTGACATGACCTCAGAAAATGTTTTCGGACAATACTGGCTCCCTTGGCCAAGAATGGAGATGAGCACTGTGCCTTAGAGTCAGACATGACTGGCAGGAAGACCTTTCTCTTTACTTACCTGAATATATATAGTTGGATTTTTTATTTATTTATTTTATTTCCATAGTCGCCCATCTTAACAAGTGACTCTGAGTGGAGGATGCTGGTGAACCATTTCCAAACCCATTCAACCCAAACTTCCTTGGAGAGGTTGTGTGAAATAGCATGAACCCCTCTCTGAGTACAGGGACCAAGTGGTCCTGAAAACCCATTTTGATCTGGCTGATTGCAGAAGTTAGGCCTCAACTGGTCGAGCATGCCTTTAAAAAAAAAAAAGTTACCAGTAACTCTTTTAATAGGACCCAATTGGCTTCATCAGATAATAGAAATAAGATAATAAGATAGAAATAAGATAATGTTTTCTTGTGTGTTTTTTTTGTTTTGTTTTAAATAGAATAGGTTGGATGAACTGAGTCGACGTCCTTATAGCAAAGGAACAGAAGGTAAGGATCCAATAGAAAGACGAGTAAAAGACTGATTATTGGCAATCATATTACTGGTGTGTGGGCCTCTCTCTATAATTATGCATTCTAAATCATAATAAAATCAATCTGATTTTTTTTTAATTTGTGCATTTCATTGGTGTGATGAGGTTTTAAGAGCTTTGGTAGCTAACTTTTGATGAACGGAATTGTAAAAGCAATTTGATGGTTTCCAATAACCTGTGCAAATACGTTTAATTCAGTGAATTGCTTTTGCCGGTTAATCCAATAATAAACTAACTCCTCTTTTCAACCAGCTGTTCTAACTATACTTACCTATGAGCTCTTTTCCATCCTGTCTTCCCATCTCTTGTTGAATTAGCTCAAAATCCACTTGGTGCAAATTCAGTGAGAGATCCACTATGCAGTCTTTATATTAAAGCTGGGCCTAAATTAAGATGTTATAATTTAAGATATTATTCAACAGCAAGAACCTACACAGGAGGAGAAGGATTTTATACCAACGACCCTGAGAATGTATTACCTGAGGATGGATGCGTCCCGCCACCAGGTAATCTTACTTGACTTGGCTTCTTTTTACCTCGTACAATATCTTAAATTATCTCTAGCTTCGTTAATCTAAAGACTGCCTAGTTGATCTTTCTTTTATTTTCCATTTACCAAGGATCCTGTATCCCATTCTGAAGAAAAAGCAGGTTTGGATTGTCCGAGTTCAAAAATGTGGAAATAGAGAATTCTTCCTCCCAGCAAGTTTTGGTGGAATGTGTTTTAGCAGTTCGGGCTGTGATAAGACCCATTTCTGTCAATCCCTGAGAACCAAGAACAACATGTGGCGTTACTTCTGAGGAGTTTATTGTTGTTCGCCTACAGACAGAATCTTGACAGACTAAAGCAACTATCTGCATAACTATAGATAGATTCTGTGAACTGCTAGGGAGCTACCATCTTAGCTCTCTTCCTGCCTATCAGACATTCCAAGGTCCATGCCTTTGACCTCTGGGAGGCAACTCCTCCCTCCTTAGACTCCAAACTATGTTCTACCACACTTAATCTCTCCCCTGGTGTAAACTGCTTCATATGTTGCTCAGACATCAATTACTTTCTTCTCTCCCTTTTTTGCATTTTTACATCGATCGATTCTATTTTATTTACTATATACCGCTGCTATCCACCTGTATTTATGGCAGTTAACATTAGTTAAAAGTCAAAAAATGGGCCAGACTATGCTTGACGGTATTCTCTGACAATAGAATTCTTGGAAACTTCAATGTTTGCATGATAGTTTTTAAACGCTCAGTTCATAAAACTTGCCTCTATATAAATGTTAGATATACTATTTTTCTCTTAAGAAAAAAAGTATATCTAACTCTTTTTCTTTTCAGCATCTCTGCTTCTGTCATTTCCTTAATGTTTATAATGTTTTATGTAGATTTGGACACAAGTTATTTTTTATATTCTGTTATGAAAGTCACTAGCGGTTGACTCTAATTCTTTCTCATGGTTACCGATCTGAACTGCAGAAGCCTAGACAACCACAAGGTGGAACCAAAGAGACTCTTTACAGCTCTTTGTCACCATCTAGTGGTTATGTAAATTTTGGCTGTCTTCAATACTCTTATTCTAGTAATGAACCCGTACTTGCTGTTGAATAACATTAAAAAGTCTCAAACTTTTTAATTTAAATCTAAATTTTAAGGTTTTAAATTTAGTGAAAGCACGTCATCAGACAGATGGAGACTAAAGACTTCCCCATTTATTCTTACTTTCTGTATCAGCTCTCCATATTACTGCATTAAATCTTCTTTGTAGTACAGTGTGGCTGGGTGCAGGGAAAGAACACACGGACCGGTTTTTAATTGTAGAGTGTTGTAAAATAGCTTTGATAAAATTGTGTGTTGAAGCTTCATTGTTCCTCTCCTGTTACCTTTAATTTACAGAAAAGCATCTCCTTTATGGCCGCCCAGCGGTTCTTTTTCGTATAAAGTACAGCCTCTTGCATCATCACGACTTTGAAAGTGGCTACAGCGAAACATTCCAGATGCCTCTCTGGACCTCTTACACTATTTCAAAACAGGTCAGTAAGGTTGCCTGTTCTCTCTTTCAGGAGTAGGGGAGGAAGTGTTGGTAGCATCCGCAGCTTATCCAGACTCCGTCCAGCACAGTCATCTTTCAATATATGTAGTTTGAAGCTATATACATTTGAGGAATGAGGAAGTGGGTTGAATGAACCAGTAATTGTTAAAATAATAGACTAGGACTGGGGAGACCCTGGTCCAAGTCCATCTTGTCCATGGGGTCACGATGGGTCGGACACGACTTCACAACTAACAATAAAAATATATATTTGCATTAGTTCAATTCAATGTGACCAGAATAAAAATTTAAACATTAAAATAAAATAAAACAGAATAAGACATATTAGTGAATTGCAAATAATGGTGGAATCATTTGGGTGGCCAAAATATGCCAAAATTTTCAGACAGTATAACAGAATTTAGCTATGTTCAGAGAACTGTTATCATGCTTGTCTGATAGTAACATGAGTACATAGAGGAGATCAGAATTTTCTCGGTATTTTGTCAAGTAAGGAGTTATAAGATGAGTTTGTAAGTCCTTATAGACCAGGGCTGTCAAACTTGCGGCCGAATGCGTCACACGCTGGCCACACCCATGCCCAGTTTAGCAAAGGGGGAAAAAGTCACGAAACGGCACGTGACAATGCCGTGACGGCGCGAGTTGGACACCCCTGATAATGACGATGCAGTATAATGGGATATGAGCTGTGGTTTCAATGGCCCCTTCGTCACAGGTAGTCTTTGTTTACCAACCGTCCTGTTTAGTGTCACTCAAATTTACAATGATTGAAAAAAAAACCCGCTACTTACGTCTGTCACAACATCTTGCAGTCAATCACGTGATTATCATTTGTGAGCTTCACAATTGGCTTCCAGCAAGCAGATTTAATCTAGAATGTGGAAGTAAAATCGCAAGATATAGTCATGTGAGGTCTTTCTGCAGTGACTCACTTAATGATGTAAGCAGAAGACATGTTGTAACCCTAGTGACCATGGTGCTTAGTGATGGATTTCCCAGTCCCAATTGTGGTTGTTAAGTGAAGACTACCAGTATATAATTCAAGATGAACACCAAAAAAATACATTGTTTTATATGTGACATGTGTATCTTCTTCTTTTGATGCAGGCAGAGACATCTGGTGTCCCAGATCAGGTGATCAGTTGCGTAAGACCTGATTTGCGCATTTCTCCAAGCAACAGTCAGAGCTGTACAGCATACAGAGTGGATAGACAAATGTCTTATGGATTCCTGTTTCCTCCCCGTAAGCTGATGTGGGACACCTGTCAATTTTTATATTTCTGGGGGTTGGCATAAAAATCAAGATAAAGAGAAATATCAAATCGGGAGCCAAGCAGCAAGCTCAGAGGACAACCCTCTGCCTAAATCTACAACCCGAGCTACAAATATTCTCCACAATTTCTAAAAAATCAAGCTGCCAATGCAAAATAGACGTTGAATACAAAGAGAACGTGTTCCTTTCGGTTGCACTGTTTTTGAGACTTAGAGAAGAATCCCCCTAATTCCATGTTTCCTTGGGGCAAAGAGGCAGGAAGTGGCTTCAGCCCTGATGGTTTCTTCACATATGCTGAAAACCTCTTATCAAAGATGATAAGGGATCTGTAGGGGAAACCATTATGATGAACAATTGAGGGAATTAAGTACCGTATTTTTCGGAGTATAAGACGCACCTTTTTCCCCCCAAAAAAGAGGGTGAAAATCTGGGTGCATCTTATACTCAAAATGTAGCCCCGCCCAGCCTCGCAAATGGAGATTTCAGAGGCTGAAAGGAGCCTCTGAAAGAAGCTTCAGAAAAAAAGCCTCTGAAAGAAGCTTCAGAAAAAAAGCCTCAGAAATGAAGCTTCAGAAAAAAAGCCTCTGAAAGGCTTTTATCTGAAATAATATGGCAAGCAACAAAAGACGAATCAGTAAAGGTTCTAACCAAACTATGTTAACAAATCTGGAGAATGACACAATAACCAACAGAAGAGATTAATCTACATACCAATACCAAAGAAAGGAGATTGAACAGAGTATAGATAGTCCTTCAGAATAAAAGCCGCTGAAAGAAGCTTCAGAAAAAAAGCCTTTTTTTCTGAAGCTCTGTTTCGGAGGCTTTCAGAGACAGGAAAAAAGTTTTCTCTGAAACAGAGTTTCAGAAGTTTCAGAGGCAGAAAAAAAAGCAAGGCATAGAGCTCACAACCAACGAGCCTGTTGCTAAAATTCACCTCTGGAAACAGCTGATTGGGGGTATTCTGGGGGCCAATCCACCCACCAATCAGATTTTTTCTTATTTTCCTCCCCAAAAACTAAGGTGTGTCTTATACTCTGAAAAATACGGTGTGTCTAGTCTAGCAAAGAGTAGGACCAGAGGTGATATGACAGCAGTCTTTTAACACTTGAGGGGCTGTCACAGAGAAGGGGAGGTGGTGGTCAGCCTATTCTCCAAAGCACCAGAGGGCAGGACAAGAAGTCATGGGTGGAAGATCATTAAAGAGAGATCCAACCTAGAACTAAGGAGAAATGTCCTGATAGAATAATTAAGCCAAAAGTTGTGGGTGCTCCATCACTGGAGGTTTTCAGGAAGAGACTGCTCAGCCATTTGTCCAGAATGGTATAACATCTCCTGCTTGAACAGGGCATTGGACTAGAAAAGTGGTCACCAATTGGTGGTCCGCGGAAAGTTTTGAAAAAAAATTTGGTGGTCCGCAGAAAAATTATTTGCACTGTTTAAATTGCACTAAATCAAGGGTCCTCAAACTACGGCCCCCCACAAACAACGTTTGTGTTGCTGCAGAGAGACTCCCCCTCCAGGGTCTTTTTGTGTGGGTTGGAGGGGGGCAGAAATTCCAACTCAGAGTCTGCTTTAGCCTCCTGGTGCGGGCTTTGGGTGAAGGCTGGAGGGAAGCACCACTGGTTCCAGTGGGACTGCCTCATGGCCTGGAACTGGCTGACCATCTCAGCCTTTTGAGCCTCCAAGCGCCGGTACCTGGCCTTGCACTCCTGCAGGTCTTCCCTCTGCTTGGAAAGCCTATGCTTGTAGTCCTCAGTGAGGTGCCTCTGCTGAGCCTCTTTCTCGGCCAAATCCAATTTGAACTGAGCCAGCTGTTTTGCCAACTCTTTCTCTTCGTGGCTGCTTAGCTCCAACAGCTTCTTCTTGTTGGGGCCCTAAGGAGCTCGGGCAGGCAGGCGAGGAGGGGCTGGGAGAGGATGGGGGAGTAGAGGCTGGTGAGGCGCCCCTCAACGCGAGTGACATTGAGTTGGCCCTGTCCACCCAGTCACATGATCACCTAGCCACGCCCACCCAGTCAGTCATTAGGCAGATCATATTTGTGGTCTGTGGGATTTAAAATTATGAATTTAGTGGTCCCTGAGGTCCGAAAGGTTGGTGATCCCTGGACTAGAAGACCTCCAAGCCCTCTTCCAACCCAATTATTCTATGTTCTTCTAAGAATACAATCTCCACCAGTTCTTGGTTACTATCTAGAACTAGTCTTTGCGCGAACCCTGACATTTACCAGTAAAATTAATTCTGGCATGCCATAAAAACATCTTTTTTTTTTTTTTAATTTTCAGAACTCAGTTCCTCAGTAGAAACAAAATATGATGCTTTCCTGATAACAAATGTCATTCCCATGTATCCTGCTTTCAAAAGTAAGTACGTGGTTTTTGAATCTTTGAGATAGAAGGGCGTACAAATGTTGGTGAATAAATAAAAATAGTTTTAAATTTTGCTTTGGAGAAGCCAAGTACTCGCTTTACACCTTAATGAGAGTTGAATTAGATTATTTTCAAGCAACAGTGGAATCACAGAACGGGGTAGCCAGCCAAACAGCTATTTCTATTAGAATATTTTAAACGGCTGGATGGGGAAGTTTTTTTTTTAGCTTGGTCAGAAACATAGAATATTCTAGAACAGTGATGGCGAACCTTTTAGGCACCGAGTGCCAAAAAGGTCGCGCGGAAACATTGCGCATGCTTCGGAAAAGCCGAACTTCAGAGTTCTAGTGTGCATGCACGCCTGGCAATCAGCTGGCCAGCGAGCATGCACAGGCTGGTTTTTTGCACTGCCACGTGCACGAAGGGATCGTGCTCAGGAAAAGCCGAACTTCCAGGTTCTGGCGAGCATGCGCACCCGACGATCAGATGGCCGGTGCACATGCGCACATCGGTTTTCGGCACTTCCACGTGTACGAAAGACAGCTGATTGTCACACGCACATGCGCGCCAGAAACCCGGAAGACAAACAGGCAAGGCCGCGTGTGCCAGGTGACATGGCTTCGTGTGCCATTTTGGGCACGCATGCCAATGGTTCACCATCTTTGGTTCTAGAAGCTTTGGTTTCAAGCTCTTTAGGAGTTTAAAAATCATAATCAGCATTTTGAATTGCAGACATGGGCAAAGGGCAGCTGGAATAACAGTGCCATTTGATGTGCTGGTCTTTTAAAGTTAGTTAAATTCTAGATACCCTACTTGGAATCAAATAGAGCTTCTGAAGAACAGCCCCATGTAGAACAGCTTCCAGTAATCTAAGGCAAGAGATGAGAGGTAGTTTGGTGTAGTGGTTAAGGTATCAGGCCACAAACTGGAAATTTTGAATTTTAGTCTTAGGCACAAAGCCAACTGGGCCAGTCAGTTCCTCTTAGCCCTAAGAAGGAGGCAATGGCAAACCACTTCCAAAGAAATTTGCCAAGAAAACTGCAAGAGCCGTGGTTCAAATGCAGTACTGCAGGCTATTTCTACTGACTGCCGGCTACCAGTAGTTCGGCAGTTCGATTCTCAATGGCTCAAAGTTGACTCAGCCTTCCATCCTTCCGAGGTCGGTAAAATGAGGACCCAGATTATTGGGGGCAAGATGCTGACTCTTAGAGAGGGTTGTAAAGCACTGTGAAGCGGTATATAAGTCTAAGTGCTATTGTTATTTGTCCAGGCAGTTCTCCGAAAATTAGCTAGTTGTTCTTGGTGGTTACGGCACCAGGCTAGAAAGCAGGAGGCTGTGAGTTCAAGTCCCACCTTAGCCATGAAAGCTGACTATGGGTCAGTCACTCTCTTTCTCAGCTCAATCCATTTTACAGGGTTGTTGTTGGGAGGAAAATAGGAGGAGGAAGTAGTATTGTGTGTGTCAACCTCCTTGAGTTATTTGTAAAAATAATAAAGGCAAAATATAATAAATAAATAAATAAATTGGACACATTGGAAGGGAAACACCCCCCCCTCCAAGAAATAATAAGGGCCCAGAGTCACTCTGGAAGATCAAGGAGATCCAGAAATGGTCACAGCTGGGTGTCTGTTGCTTCTAGCCAGTCTTCACTAACAAACTGGATGCCTCCAATTATACTTGCCCTAAATCTGTTGCTCCCCTCTGGGAGGAGGTTTCGAAGTATCTATAGCAGGATTACTAGATTCTGTTAACAGCTTTGTTCCTTATGCATCCGTCTTGTAAATTCTCAGGATTCTTTTTTTCCCGCCATGTATACATTCAAACCAGGGGTGGATTCTACTTACCTTTACTACCGGTTCACATCGTGCCTGCCCGCATGTGCAGATCGCTTTTGATGACATCAGTGGGTGGAGCCTCCCGCCGGTTTTACTACCGGTTCTATAGAACCGGTCCGAACCGGAGGCAACCCACCACTGATTTGAACTAGACCAGTGGTGTCAAACTCAAGGACCGCAATGTGGTCAGATCTGGCCTACGGGGCCGTCCTGGTCTACCCAATACGAAGATGAAAGATCAGGCCAACATAGCTTCGGCCCGGTCTACCCAGTGCAAAGAGGAAACATGCCAAACAAAGCACCAGCAGTTTGGGGAGTGGTGTCAAGCTGGCCACGCCCACCCAGTCGGCCATGCCCGCCCCGCCCCCCCAAGGTCAACCACAGCCCTGATGCAGCCCTCAGTGAAATTGAGTTTGACACCCCTGAACTAGACTGTGATATTTCTCTGTGTGCATAATGATTATCTTTTTTTTGATTCTTGATGAATATATCTTTTCTTTTGTGTACACCAGGAGCGTATGCACCAAGACAAATTTCTTGTGTGTCCAATCACACGTGGCCAATCAAGAATTCTATTCTATTCTATTCTGTTTTGAGATCTGAATACAACTGTCAAAATTTCATTTTAATATATGCTGATTAGTGTACATTTAAAGTGACAATAAAGTCTCTTCTCTTCTCTTCTCCTCTTCTCTTCTCTTCTCTTCTCTTCTCTTCTCTTCTCTTCTCTTCTCTGTTCTCTTCCCTTCCCTTCCCTTCCCTTCCCCTCCCCTCCCCTCCCCTCCCCACTCCTTTTCCTCATTGTGAAATTCCTTAAAATATGGGGAGGATGAAAGGCATCATCTACCTAACTTAAATGACTGAAAGTACAATCACAAAGAGATGCCAGTGGCATCATTGTTAGTATAGGTAGAGCCATAAGGAAAACAATGCTAGTCGAGCTCATCTTCTTTTGTAGGAGAAGAACAATGTGATATTTGTCCAGTCTGCACAGCAGTACCAGCCACTGAAGGGCTCTTATTTCTTTTGTTCATGCTCCTCTGTTTGTTGGGAGTAAATCCCTGTCTTTAATATTAGACCTAATTTAGAATGCATAGCTAATATTCTGATAGTCAGTTAAAATATTCATTTTTCCATCTTACAATCCTACTAACATTCAGTTTAGGTACCCTTGCTCTCTTCCCATCTTCCCATCTTTTTCTTTGTCTTTCCTCTTTCCCTTTCTCCTTTCCTGTCCCTTCTTGGATGTTCAAATGCCAAAGGGGAAACATTTCTCCTTTTGTTTTGTTTTGCTTTTAATTTGTTTTACTAGCCCTCTGCCAGCGAAAACGGAGCCCGTTTTCGGCCTAGATGGCTTCCTGAAGCCCTCTGCCAGCACTGTTTTCAGCCTGGACAGCCTCCTGCAGCCCCTGCCAGCACAAAGGGAGCACCCCCCCGGGCTCCGTTTTCACTGGCAGAGGGCTGCAGGAGGCCGTCCAGGCCAAAAACGCAGCTGGTAGAGGGCCACATGCGGCCCTCCCAAGCTCCATTTTCGCTGGCAGAGGCACCGCAGGCTGGTCCTTCGCCATTTCCACGGCTGCCCCGCAGGCCAAAATTAAGCAGCCCGCAGGCTGGATCCAGCTTGCGGGCTTTGAGTTTGACACCCCTGGCTTAGAAGGTGTGTGCCCAAAGGATTAAATAAATGGCCCAATTCTTCCAAGATTTTGACCATTTGACTTTTACACGGCTCCTTTGGTATTCTGTGGATGTGTCCTGGTTATTGCGCTCTTAGGAACGAATTGATGTTTTTACAACAGCTTCTGCTCACCTAACCAAGACAACATTTGTGCTATCTGAGCATGCTCTGCAAATTTTCATATTTCCCTACATTTACAGTTTATAGATAGTCTTTGGACTTATGACTAGTTGTTTAGTGGCCATTCAAAGTTACAACAGATTTCCCCCTGAAAGATATCATGAGCCAGTTCCAAAATTCTGACAGCCATCATCACCCCTGTGATCACATGACTGCATTTTGGACACTAAACGACTGCATTTATAACCATTTGCACCATCCTGGGGTTACATAATCATGATTTATGAAGTTTTTGCCCCCCAAAATCCCGGGTCTTTACTTCTGGTTTTTGGCCCAAAAAAATGTCCCATAGCAAACAATGGATGCACTTAATGACTGTGACGTTCGCTTAACGACTGCTGCAAAAGAGGTCATAAAATTGGGTCAGTTATGTGATGACCCGGTTTACGACTGTTACAACTATAATGGGCAAGCTCCACTACGGTCGTAAGTCAAGGACTGCCATTAAAGTCCCATGATGACTTGCTTTACAAATACACCAATTTACAGTAAAAATTCTGGTCCCAACTGTGAATCAAGGATTATCTGTAACAGAGTTTGTCCTTCAGTCTATCCCAAAGCTGCTTTTCAAAAGGCAGCTGGACTTCCTTGGTTTTTTTTCCCCTTGAAAACGTTCGCTTCTCATCTAAGACGCTTCATCTCAAGAAGAATTAAAGACGCTTCTTGGATGAGAAGTGAATGTTTTCGAGGAAAAAAACCAAGGAAGTCCAGCTGCCTTATGAAAACCACGTTTGGGGCAATGATGACCTTGAGAATCTCCATAGACATTCAGTCCTTCATTCTTTCTTTAACAGAAGCTGGAGTCCTCATTTTAATTCTAGCTACTTGGTGGACTTTAGCTTCTGTCCATCCTGTAAGTGCTGATACGAATGGCATGCTGTAGGTCCCATTGATTAAACATTGACATCTGATAGGACTGGGGAAGTGAACCTTCCTCTGTCCAAGTGTCTGTCCTGTGGAAAAGCATCCCACCCCGCTGCAGAGATCCCTATGATCCATATCCTGGGCTCATTGAAATGGTCTTGAAGGCATGGTGGTCTTGCTAGGTGGGTGGCAGGCCATTTATGGACTATGTATATTAGGATGAATGTTTTATTGGCCTTCCAGATGTTCTTTTTGGTTTTTCTTCCACATTTTTTTTTATTGGTGTAAGCTGCCTGGCATTGTTATGGTTAGAGTTATGGTGTGTGGGGGCATGGGTGGGTTATAAATCTAATAAAATAAAATTGTGGGCTTATTACTAGTATTTCTATGTCCTTCTGCAGAACATCTCTGAGTGGCAATGTAAGGACTACGCAGAGAATAGTGTTTTCTGTTGTGATGTAATGCTTTTTCTGGTGGTATTTAGGATAATTTTGCCTGCTTTTTTTGTGTGTGTGTGTACATCTACAGAGGTCTGGAATTATTTCCAGAGGATTTTGGTGAAGAGATACGCCATTGAACGGAACGGAGTCAACGTGATTAGTGGACCAATCTTTGACTATGACTTTGATGGTTTGCATGACACGCCAGACAAAATCAAACTGTAAGGATCCACTACTATTAAACAAGCATATATAAAATAAAAATGAACAATCACTAAAGAGAAAGGAAAATAAGTATATAAACAACAGCAAACACAGAAGGACAAGAAGCGACGGATGGAAACTAGTCAAGGAGAGAAGCAACCTAGAACTGAGGAGAATTTGAAATGTCTGTGAATATTAGTAGCTCGGGTTGGTAGTTATATTGTTGGTTTGCGCTCTGAGCTTGGCGATTTGGTTGCAAATCCAAAGCGCCCTGAAGTTGTCTCCTCGAATGGGGATGAAACGTTTGCAATCAAATTGCCAAGCTCGGAGCTCAAACCAACAACATAAGAAGAATTTTGCTGTCAGTTAGAACAATTAATCAGTGGAACAGCTTGCCTTCAGAAATTGTGGCTGAGCCAACACTGGAAATTGTTAAGAAGAGATTGGACAGCCATTTGTCTGAAATGGTATAGGGTTTTCTGCCTGAGCAGGCAATTGGGCTGGAAGTCCGCCAGTGTTCCTTCCAACTCTGTTATTTTGTTAGAAGGAGAGAAATAAAGCAATTAGAACTATATCTCAAGTTCACCTGGTTGTTATTCATTTATTTATTAAGAAAATGTATATAGCCATCCAACTCACACTTGGGTGATTTTGGGTGGCTTACAAAATTTTTAAAAATCCACCATATAGCAATTATTAAAAAACTCCCACCTTACTTCCCATGAGGAAAACAATATTTTCAAAGTTCACCCAGCCTGTTCAAGAATTATTTTTTTTCAAAAGGGAGAAATAATGTGACATTAACAGTACATATATTTTTCTCAAAATTGGCTAAATCAGGCATGTCTGAAATCCAGTCTTTTATATCTGGAATTATTGGCATTGGAAACAAGTTTTAACACAACCCAGAACACTCATCTATCTGGCCCAACCTTGTGAGTACTAACTGGCAACTCCTCTCCATGAGTTGTAATCCATGCTACAGAAGGTTTGGCTAGGAGACTGCAATTTTTTTGTATCTGTTCCTAAACCCTGTGATTTATCCAGCAACTTTATTTGGCTAAATTCCCTCAAATCCTCAAACCAAGCCTTTTGTTGGGGTTGATAAATGAATCCAAAATTACTCGGCTTGATTTACCTGCAGCTATAGAAAGGATATTAAAGTATTTTCTTACAATAGTTGGCTGTTAATATTTTACTTCTCCTTGTAAAAAATTAAAAAAAAAACCCTTTATAGAGATTGAAGAGTAATTCATGCAGTGATGGGGCTATTTTGTCCCTCTCGTTATGATCTGCTAGGTAAGGATTTCTTTTAAAAGAGAGTTGAAATAATTGATTTCAGGGGTGTCCAAACTTGACTATTTTTAAAATTTGTGGACTTCAACTCCCAGAATTCCCCAGGCAGCAATGCATTGCTACCTGGAGAATTCTGAGAGTCGAAATCCACAAGTCTTAAAGTTGCCAAGTTTGGATAGCCTTCATTGATTTAAAACTAATAAATCAATAGTAGATCATTTTCTCAGAACCTGTGCTGCCTTATCTCCCTTAAGACACATTTGTAAAAAGATGAAAAATCTTTATCTTCTAGGTATGTGGAAGGAAGTTCGATCCCAGTTCCAACTCACTACTACAGCATCATCACAAGTTGTTTAGACTTCACTCAGCCTGCTGACAAGTGTGACGGACCTCTTTCAGTTTTGGCATATATTTTCCCTCACAGGCCTGACAATGATGAAAGCTGCAATGTAAGTTCCAACTTATTCCCGTTGACCTGTGCTTGGCACCAAAGTGCCAACATCTGACCCAATGTCTTCTCAGAAAGATTTTTGAACTATGTTAAACAGTTGCAGAATTAAAACGAGTCCCAAAGGTGATGGAACAGACCAAGGAGGCAGGATATCAAGATGGTGGCTACGTAAGAGAACCTATTCAAAAGGATTGGTTGATGCTCTCCTGACTTTTTTGACAGCCCACTGATGGCCAAATCTGGCCTTAGATTTTGCCTCAGTAGTAGCCTGACTAGGTGGCTCAGTGGCTAAGACACTGAGCTTGTCGATCAGAAAGGTTGGCAGTTCGGCGGTTTGAATCCCTACTACAGGTCTCCTGTGTTAGCAGGGGGTTGGACTAGATGATCTCCAAGATCCCTTCCAACTCTGTTACTGTTACAAGTACAGGAACATCAGAAGAACCCTATCTAACAAAATAAAATTCAGTGGTGGGAAAAATAAGGTTATACAGTGAAGCAAGAAAAACCAAATGCACAGGTACAGAATAGGTGGTATCTAGCTCAATAGTAGTAACTGTGAGAGGGATCTTGGGAGTCCTAGTGGACAACCATTTAAATATGAGCCAGCGGTGTGCTGTAGCTGCCAAAAAAAAGCCAACACAGTTCTAGGCTGCATAAACAGAGGGATAGAATCAAGATCACGTGAAGTGTTCATACCACTTTATAATGCCTTGGTAAGGCCACACTTGGAATACTGCATTCAGTTTTGGTCACCACAATGTAAAAAAGATGTGGAGACTCTAGAAAGAGTGCAGAGAAGAGCAACAAAGATGATTAGGGGACTGGAAGCTTAATCATATGAAGAATAGTTGCAGAATTGATTATTGCCTTGCATAACAATGGAATGGTCTCAATTGTTGTAAATCAAGAACTACCTGTAATTAGTAAACCAGTGACTATTGATAAGTATAAAATATAATGTAGATTTTTTTTCTTTATTAGTTTGTATTTTTAGACTGTTTGGGGTTGTCTCTTTTTAGACAGGAACTGGGTATGTCTGGTTTAATGAAAAGAAGAACTAGGGGAGACACAATAACAGTGTTCCAATATCTCAGGGGTTGCCACAAAGAAGAGGGAGTCAAGCTATTCTCCAAAGAATCTGAGGGGAGGACAAGAAGCAATGGGTGGAAACTAATCAAGGAGAGAAGCCACTTAGAACTAAGGAGAAATTTCCTGACAGTTAGAACAATTAATCAGTGGAACAACTTGCCTGCAGAAGTTGTGAATGCTCCAACACTGGAAGTTTTTAAAAAAATGTTGGATAACCACTTGTCTGAAGTGGTGTAGGGTTTCCTGCCTAAGCAGGGGGTTGGGCTAGAAGATCTCCAAGGTCCCTTCCAATGCTGTTATTCTATTCTATTCTATTCTATTCTATTCTATTCTATTCTATTCTATTCTATTCTATTCTATTCTATTCTATTCTATTCTATTATTCTATTCTATTCTATTAATTTTTTAATTTTTTCAAACTTTTTTTAAAGTTTAAACTTACTATTGTTGTTCATTGTGTCTGTTAAGAATATTAATATTATTTTTAAAAGGTTATTTTTTCCCCTTCCAGAATTCTTCTGAAGATGAATCCCGGTGGGTAGAAGAGCTCTTGAAAATGCACACAGCGAGAGTACGGGATATCGAACAAATTACCGGCTTAGACTTCTATCGGAAGACCAGTCGAAGCTATTCAGAAATCCTTTCTTTAAAAACATACCTGCATACATTTGAAAGTGAAATTTAACTATCTCTTAAAACTCAGCCCACCCATCCTCTTATGAAGTGCTGTATATTTTTATATTATATTTATTAATTTGAAACAGGACATTAAAATTATTAGTGTATTTTTAATCTTGCAACAAATCTTAAAAATATTAAATCGGTGTCTGTTGTGTATTGAATCTTTAATGTAAAACATATGTTTTTGGTTTTTTTTTAAAAAGAGCTCCTGATGTGCAGCAGCTTAAAAGAGTCTCTTGGTTCAAAGCTTCTTAAAATGGTACAGAAGAATCACTTAACTTCGGTGGAGGAAATGTAACTTTTATTGCATTCCCTTGTGCCATGCTTTTTTTTTTTTAGTCCTGTATTGTGTATTATACATGTAAAATGACAATGATTGTTAACTATGTGATAGACATATTTAAGCTTCATAGAGAATAGAAACTTAAATATAATAAAACCACACATTTAGGGTTTTTTACTTGGTGTTCCTTTCGCAATGGCAAACTATTTTTCCCCTTGTTTTCAGGCAAGATCCTTCATACACAAGCATGATATAATTTACTGAATGATCCTCAAATTACCATATTTTTTGGACTATAAGAAGTACTTAAATTTACAGGAGGAAAACAAGAAAAAAATAGTTTTTGGCCTCCACACGTCGGATTTTCGCCCTCCCAAGCCCCCAGAAGCACTCTGCAGTGCTCCGCATGGCCCATTTTCACCAAAAACGCACCTGTTTTTGGCCTACCGAATGCTTCTAGGGGCCTGGGAGGGCAAAAACGTGACACGCGGAGGGCTTGGGAGCCCAAAAATGCCCGTATTTGGTCTATAAGACGCACCTAAATTTTCACCCACTTTTAAGACGGAAAAAACATGTGTCTTACACTCCAAAAAATACAGTATACTGATTTTTAAACCTAGGAGGCTGAATATAGGTAGTCATCAACTTACAACCGTAATTGAGCCTGGAATTACAGTTGTAAGTCATGTTGGTTGTTAAGCGAGTCACCATATGAACATGATCAATTTTATGATTATTATTTTTTTTTGCAGTGGTCATTAAAAGAACCCATTATACCCAATAGGTGAGGGTTTTTTTTGCTAGAACTGGGAAGTAAATGCCGGTTTCTAGGAAGAAATGGCAAAAATTGCCATCACGTGACCACAGGGCTCTGCAAATGCAGACAGATTGTCAAGGGCAGGGGTCTCCAACCTTGGCAATTTCACGACTTGTGGACTTCAACTCCCAGAATTCCTCAGCCAGCATGAGGAATGGCTTGGAGACCTTGGCAACTTTACGACTTGTGGACTTCAACTCCCAGAATTCCTCATGCTGGCTGAGGAATTCTGGGAGTTGAAGTCCACAAGTCATGAAATTGCCAAGGTTGGAGACCCCTGATTAAAGGCACAAAAAATGTAATCACATGACGGGAGGCGGCCATCGTAACTTCAAAACCATGTTCTAAGTAGCTCTGGAGAGGTCCATTTCAACTTCGAAAGATTGCAAGTTGAATATTACTTGTATCTATATGAAGAAGTTCTCTTTTGGACAGCTTCTGACACCCCCCCTCCCATTAAAGAAATGATGCACCTTAAAGAGCATCATTTCTTTAAGGTGATTCCGGACCAAAAGATGATATCACTGTTGCCCAGGGAATGCCTGTGAGAGCTCCTTAACTTCTGGTTTCACTATGTGGAATGGGTGGAGCCTGAGGATGAAAAAGGCAGAGCTACAAGGCCTCAATCCTTTGGAATGTGGCTTTCACTCAGAAAAGCATTTTTTTTCCCTAACCAGGCAATTTGACCTGGTGGGATTTGGCCTGTTTTGCATCATTCTGCCAATTGTGGTCCTTGGCACCACCAACCTCCCCAGACTTTTAAATAAACCCCGTGTTTTCAAATGTTTGCTCGCCCCTGTTTTGTCGCACTGCCTGAACTAAGCCTCGGATGGGCAGGGTGAACTAGAGCAATTCAAGAATGCTCCCTCGTGTGCAATGCTCCAGCTGGAGGTTTTTATTAAAAAATCTTAACATTTTCAAAGAAACTTTGGCAACCTGAAGTTGTATGAACATTTATTTCCTAAAACAAGAATTTCAGGAAAGATCCTAGCCAAATGTTGCAGTTGAGTTCCTAAGTGGGAAACTGCAAGAGTCTAGCAATAGCGCTTAGACTTATATATTGCTTCACATAGCTTTACAACCCTCTCTAAGCAGTTTACAGAGTCAGCATATTGCCGCCAACAATCTGGGTCCTCATATTACCGACCTCAGAAGGATGGAAGGCTGAGTCAACCTTGAGCCTGGTGGGATTTGAACTGCCAAATTGCAGGCAGCCAGCAGTCAGCAGAAGTAGCCTGCAGTACTGCACTCTTAACCACTGTGCCACTGTGTCTAACCCTTCTAAGGATTCTGCAGAAATGACTTTCTGGGCAAAATAGCAGAGTCCTCCTGAAAACTTTTCTGCTGAAGGCTCAGACCGATTTTTTAAAAATATATTTTAACAGGATACTTTTAAGCAAAAGATCTCTGGTGAGCCTTTGCCTTAGGTTGCTCCTCAAACTTCCCATTTGTGTGAGAAATTGTGTGACCTTCTGCAGATCTTAGTTCCAGATGATGGTTGATGGCAAATTCACTCCGTCTTTCATAGTCTTCATTCCCCAACAGACATGCAAAGTTTTACAAATCTTTGACCCCACTTGGTTCATGTTTTGGGATACCATTATATGTCCTTCAGTTTGTTTTGGCTGAAATCTATTTTTATGCAAATTTAAGATGTTTTTGGTTGATCCTTTCCTAAACTGATTGGTATCTTGACTGCCCAATTGTGAGAATGATTAATTTTTGTATGGTGTCTTGTGTTCCAATTGCTGCTCATTATGGGTGACTTCAAACAGCATAGTTAGCACAGGACAGTTCATGGCTAATAATTGCCTTCACACATGCAGGGCCCTTTTTGTGAAGTAGCTCAATCCATTTACTTGGTTAGTTAGTTGGGGGGGTGGGTATCAGTGTATTATGTATTTCGCTAAGAAAATTAAGGGCATTGTGTAAATATATTTTCTTGAGTTAGTGCTGGACTTAGTTAAAAAAATATTAATTCAATATTTAACTTATTAAAAAAGGATTAACATCCACCACAAAGACAAAATCTTTCTAATCTAGCTGTGTGTATATTAATGCAGAATTTTCCATAAATGTGTCAGCGGCTTTAAGCTATCCCATGCGAGTTCTAAAAGCCCTGTGAAGTTTTTTTTTTTAAAGGGAAAAGTTTTAATTAGCATTTGCATTTGTCAGACTAAGTAGTGTTGACTAATAAATAAATAATAAAATTGTTTATTTTTGCTTTACCTTTAAGAACTAAAGAGGCATCATGGCACCATTCCAGTTTTTTTCACAACAACCAGTTAAGTTGGGTTGCCAGAGGGTACAACTAATCTAAAGTCACCTAGTATATATCTATGGCTGAGAGTGGATTTGAATCAAGATATTTCTGGCCTTTTCTACTTACCCAGTCCTGCTACATTTACACTGGCCCTTTCCACTTCCCCAAATATTCCATGGTAATTCCTGACGGGTGGGAATCAGAATATAAAATGAAAGCAAACTCCACTTCCTTCTAGCACTGATGATGTTACCTAGTTGGGTAATAAAACATCTCCAAGCAAACAACCAAGCTCAGAGAGCATCAGATCCTACAGTTCAACCCTAATATTCTATTAGTATGCTCAGTAACCCTAACCCTTCTGCCAACCTAGCAGTTAGAAAGCATGTAGAAAAATAGGGACCACCTTTGGCGGGAAGGTAACAGCGTTCCGTGCGCCTTTGACATTTAGTCATGCTGGCCACATGACCACAGAGGCGTCTTTGGACAACACTGGCTCTTTGGCTTTGAAACGGAGATGACCACCGCCCCCTAGAGTTAAGAATGACTAGCACATATGTGCGAGGGGAACCTTTACCTTTACCTTATGCTTACTATGCTGCCCATCCCTCCCAATTTTGACTACCCATGCAAGCACCAGTTGTAGTTTGCCCCATCTTCAAGGGCAGTCCCACATCTTCAATGTACTTCAGTAGCCTAGTGTGCATGTCGTAAATGCATGAATAAATATTTTATATATTCAACAGGTTCTCCTACATCTACTGAAATCTCTTAACTTGGCCAAGCCTCTTTCGTCAAGTCTAAACCAAAATCTTAGGGTATGAAATTTAGAGTCACAGAGTTACAACTTCATTTCCTAGGAAAAGTTATAATAGTCCCAGCAATGGCTTTTTGAGAACATATGGCTTCTACTCAGGGGTGGGCTGCTGGGGGTTGGCAGGGGTTTGGGAGAACCTCTAGCTAAGATTCTGTTGTCAGCACTTCAACCTGCATTTACTCTAGTGCTGACATAAGAAGGAGAAGAGGGGGCAGCTGGCAAGAGGACGCTTGACTTCTCACCTACTTATTTTCCCTGAAGATAATATCCCCTAGGAGATGAGATGGGAGGGGGGACATTCCTGGGAGCTGAAGTAGTAGATATGGGGAGAGTGATCTGGGAAGAGGGCCAATGAGACGCAGAGAATTGGGGAACGGAAAGGGAAGGTTTGGGGTCAGGAAGTCAGTATTGGCTACGCCACAATCGGGGACAGGTTGTCGTGCTTAATAAAATGAAAGATTTCTTCAAAGACTATTTGTTTGGAAATGCAATTTATTTTATTTGAGACGACATCGAAACCTGACATCTGTACAGATCTGAGAACCCCCAAATCCCACTCCTGGATGGCCTTGCCCACCCCTCCCCTCCCCTCCCCTACCAGGAGTCCCCATGAGGCCCATTTTGGATGCAGGTAAGTGCAGGGCGTGCATGGAGGCTCAGGGACGGTGAAAAACAGGTCTACCGGAAGTTTGGGAAGGCCAGAAACAGGCCTGTTTCTGGCCTCCAGAGGGCTTCTGGAGCCTGAGGAGGCCGTTTTCACCCTCCCGGAGGCTTGAGGAAAGCCTCCGGAGCCCAGGGAGGGCAAAAACGTCCCCGCTCCCACCGTGGTGCAGGAGGCCAACTAGGCCTCGCCCACCATAGCCATGCCCACCCAGCAACTGGGCAGAGAACCCCTTGCTAACATTTTTGAAGCCCACCCCTGCTTCTACTCCTACAGGCAGCATGGCCTGTCCCTAATGATCAGCTTCTTCTATTATTTTATAGGTTCCTAGTGCAAATCCTTGAGAATATGGAGTGGACTGTCGAAGGTTTATTAAACCTTGGCTGGCCACCGTTTCGGAGAGGGTAATTCTCACAAACAGGACTGGAAGTGCTGCTGCTGACGGGTGGCAGCAGCAGCAGCAGCTATGCTCCACTTTGAAGACTAGCACAGATTCCCGTTTTCAAAGCCCGTCTGTCTCTTCACGGTCTTGGCACGGCCCCCAGTCGCTTGCTCACCCACTACCCTGTCTAAGCCTTGCTCTAAAAATAATGCTGATGGATTTTCCAGAAGCA